TCGATCGTAGCCGTAGATCGACGACCACGCCTCTGATATACTTTCCATGCTTTGATATCCCCGTCATTCTCCCGGGGTGGGAGAAAGCTCGACTCCGTCGAGTAAGCGTCTCTGATGCTCTCGTAGATCTCCAATGCGTCGGGGTCAATCTGTTGCAGCTCTTCGCAATCCAGCCATGTATCCTCTGACTCGAGCTTTCTTCTCCACCTGATCAAGTACCTCCGTCATCCACCTTCCCTTGTGGAGATGATGTCATCACTCAGAATTGAGTCCACCTTTTCTTCCATGGGTGATTTGGCAATATCTGAGAGTGGCGGTAGGTTTGGGTTCTCACATGGTTGGATCACACAAGGCTGCTGTATGAGTGGATCTGGTGGGTTGAAATGAGGACCTTCATATACAACTAGATCTTCTATGTTAAAGGAGGGATTGATGTTGAATTCTGCCGGCAGATCTATTACATAAGCTTTATCATAGAATTTCTTAGTTATTTTGAATGATCCAGTACTCTTAGCATGCATCTCCTTAACTGTTCCTTGCGGGAATCGTTTCGGACGAATCCGCACCATCACGGAGTCACCAACCTCAAAAGTTTTAAATTTTCGTTTCAGATCAACATATAGTTTATAATCATTGTTTCTCTTTTCAATTTGTCGTGCAATTTCTTTATGAAGTTCGTTGGTTGTCTAGGTATGAACCCGTAAATAATTTCAGAAGGACTTAAACCAGAGGTATGGGTCACTGAAATAGGGTAGACGAGCTCGATAAGGAAGCTCCCGGGACTAGATCTAAAACATGCTGGATGTCTCTAATCGAAGGCAATTGATTGGGAGGATTGTCAGGGAAGACATCAACAAGTTTACTAAGTATGGGCTGAATCTTCTGAGGGACTGGTTCGTCAGACTCAGTGGAAGTTTCACGACCGACTAAGACGTGCAAGGGTGTGCTTTGGGCTATGGCAACTATCAGGTTCAATCCCTTCTTGGATTTGATAGGGTTGGATTCAGGATCATTCGTAATCCGGGGCTGTGATGGTAAAAACTTGATCTTTTGTCCCTTATGTTCAAACACGCAGGTGTTTGAACGACCATAAATGTGGACATCGTTGTCAAATAGCCAGGGACGGCCCAAAAGGATTTGTCCAACATTCATAATCAATACATCACACCAAACATTCTCTTTATAGCCAGCGAAGGAGATGGGTATGAAGCTTCGTTCCTTCACCTCCAAGGCAATGGTGTTAACCCAAGCTACCTTATAGAAGTTGGGGTGGGGAACGATAGACATATCAAGCTTAGACACCATGCTGGTGGAGACAGCGTTGATGCAGCTGCCATTATCCATGGCGACCTTACAGTTCTTATTCATAATTTTGGTGTAGGCGTGAAAGATCGTACTCCTATGTTAGTCGTCGGTGGTAACAGGTTGTGACATTTCACAATTCATCACGCAAGTGGGAGAAGTGTCAATTTTCTGAATGTACTGGATGACTGTAGTGTCGTCATCCTTCTCAAAGGATTCACCATCGTTGTCCACCTGGTGAATCTGGTTGACTTCGGGCTCGAATTCCGACTCAGTGATCTCTTCGATAATCATGACTTTGTAGGGACTAGAGCACTGAGAGGCGATATGCTCATACCCCTAACATCTAAAGCATTTGGTCCCGGGGTTAGGCCGAGGGGTATTCGGGGTGGGAGGCTTACTTCTAATATCAGGACGGGGAGTGGGGGGACCAGACGAGGGTCGGGTAGTGCTCCTTAGGGTCGGCTGGGCAGTGGGGGTGTGAGGGGTGGAACTACTAGAAGGTCTGTAGGAAGGCCTAGAGTCAGGGTGTCGACTAGGGTGTTGGGAACAGGTTTCCTCTAGGTCTAATACTAAACTATAATCATTTTCAAGAGTAGTGATGTTCCGGGCGAAAAGCTCGTTGCGAAGATCCTCTCTCAACCCGGTACAAAACATGGATAGGATCTGCGCGTGGGTAGTGGAGGTCTCCCTTTTGTAGCAAATCAGATAGTCGACAAAAGATGCGATGTAATCCTTGACCGGTTTGTTGCCCTGAGTCAACCTCTTCCACCTATCCAATAGCCTGAGGAAGTACGAGGGAGGCAAGTACTTCTGCTTATGCTCACATTTCATGGATGGTCAATCAGTGATGGCATACTCATTCCTGGCTTCCCTAAGGCTCTCTAGGTTGGCCCAAAATTGCCTCGCCCTACCCTTGAGTTTCATCTCGGCAAAACTAACCTTCTAGCCTCGGATATGTTATACCACTTAAAGAAACTATTCATACCTTTGACCCAGTCCAGGAAGAGCTGAGGATCGAGGGTGCCATCAAAGGTAGGAGCATCGACTTTAATATTCTTTATTAGTGGTATATCAGGGTTATGGTGAGGGTTGTGTCCATATTGAGGAACTCGATGGTTGACACGATGTTGCCTCTCATTCGGGTAGGTATCATCCCCATACATAGAAGGTGGTCTCGACGGGGTGTAAGAGGTTGGATGTTCCCTAGATCGTTCAAGTGTATCGAAACGTTCAGTGGTGTCCCTATGAAGTTCTGCTAGGTCGGCTTGGTTCTCTTTGAATTGATAGCTAATGGTGTTCATTTGACCTTCCAGAAGGTCTAAGGTCCTTCCATGTAGTTCCGGGTTCATTGGGGTTCACTACGGAACACCTATGTTGACTAGAATGCAAAGGAAAACAATTTATATGAGTAAAACACACTTATGCCTCGCAAAAATGAGTTCAGAAATGTAAGGACAACAAAATATAAAAGGGCTAAATGACTTAGATGCAATGGTGAAACAACTAGTAAAGCACAAAGATGATAAAGAACATTCTACGACGGATCCTAGTACATGCAACTTGAGCTGCTCTGATACCAGTTGATGCAGGACTAAAATATTTTTAAATGTATGCGATACAAAATTGCATGATTTCTTGAATTAAGCAAGTAAGATTAAAACTGTTAGCAATCAAAACGACAATAGAAAACAAGAAAGTGGTGTCTACGTTTAGGCTAAGCTGCTTACCAAACACTTGGAAAATCAAAACAAGTTAGAAATTCAACAATCATGCTAAGTAAATAGCTTTCAACAAAATCCCTAATATAACAATAAGATTAGAATCATAGAAAGCACGCTCAATCTTACGTTTACTAAGCTTAGGCATAAGGCGAAGCACGACTCCTTGTGATTCGTCACCACCTACAAGATTAGGAGGATTAGGAAGTTAATTGAAAAGAGGAAGAAGGTTCACTTTTGCCAAAACCCGGAAACAAGTAGTTGAGGTGTTGAAGGTGTTCATCGTAGCTTTCTTTGAAGGTTCATTGGAGAGAAAAATTTCTCTCATGCATTGAAGTGTTGAATGTAATGATCCTTTGCTCGCCTTGAAGAATCCCTTGAGAGAAAGAAGTTTCTCTCAAGAATTCAAGTGGAGGGGAAGAGTGGGAGGTGGCCAACCAAAGGAAGAGGTTTGGGGAAGAGATAGGTTCTGATTTTGGGTTGGAAGGATGGAGGAAAATAATAACTTCTTTCCTCTAATTAAACCATTAATTTGGAAATGCTTTAATGGGAATTAGGAGAGAAGTAGGGGGCTGGTAGGAGAGCGGGTGAGGCTTTGAATTCTTTCCATAGGGAGAGACTTAAAGTTTGGAAAGTATTCAAGTGGGGAACAAGCATAGGGCTGGCGACATACAAGCATGGGGCTAGCGGCATAGGGAGGGATTTAGGGGGAAATAAGCAAGGGTTATTACTTTCCTAAATGGGATTCTCAAATTTGGACATAAGATTTAATTACAATCTAATTCAAATTAAATTTGAATTTGATTTTAGGAACTTTCATAAATTAGGATTCTATTTTAGGAAACGTTTCAAAATTCAAATTTGATTTGAGTAATTGAAAATATAAACCTTCCAAAAGAGGAAATCTAAGATAGGAAAGTAATGATGCAAGAAACAAAAATTTGGAGGCAAGAGGGAAAGGGGAGGCCAGTGACTAAGCTAGGGTTGGGTTAGGTTTAGGTGGAGATGGAGGAATTAAGCCGGTCACCCAATCAAGGGAGCAACCTTAGAAGGCTAGCGGGAAGGTGGAGAAGGGAAGGACCTTGGTAGGCGTTGGGGTGGTGGATGTAGCCGGCGGTGAGAGGAGGGTTTTGTGGTGGCCAGTGGCTTAATGGGATGGGAATTCCTAGGCCGGCGGCTAGATGAGAGGAGGAGAGAAAGAGATAGAGAAGATAGAACCACGAACCAGCCATCTCCAAGGTTGGTGGGTAATCCGATTTCTCTTTCCTAGGGATTTCTCTCTCAAACACTCTTACGATCTCACAAAGAAATCAAAGGGGAAGAAAATTCATCATTCATTCATTTATTAACTTTAGAAGAAGAACATAAGGGTTATAAATAGTCTCGTACAAAGGACTCAAAATAAAAAGGAAGACAATGCTCCTAAGGCTTACATACGACCTCCCTTAAGAAAAAGGTAAAATGGGAAAACAAATACAACATAAATAATAAAACTAATTAACATAATAAGAAAATCAAATACATGAAATTACTCAAAAATATATAGACTCGATCGTGGCCGTAGATCGACGGCCATGCCTCTAATATACTTTCCATGCTCTGATGTCCCCATGAAGTTGCTATGACCTTTTTGAAGTGCAAGAATTGGTCACGTTTCATACATTTATTTTTTATCTAAATTTTAAACCTTTATAATAAAAAAATTAAACAAATAATTCTTCTTTTAGAATCTCCTTGATCATCTTGGGATGCCCATTTGAATCAATGGAGGAGCTAACGAATTCCCTCACTTTCTTCATTTTGTGACATATGATTTATTTCTTTGATGACAACAATGAATGCCATGAAATCCAAATCATTATATTTTCATGAATTTTCTATTTAGGTATTTACACTTGAATAGAAATCCCTACGGGGAATCTTGTTTCAAGGTTCTAATTTGTTGCTTGCTCTCCATTTATGCTCTTTTACTTGCAGAAATCACATTTCAAACCAGGATTTCAGCAAGAAGGTTATTCATGAAGATTGCTTGGTTTCAGTATTGTTTTCTCAGTGGATAGGTATGTGGACAAGAAGAAAAGAAAATCAAGCAGTTTAGATGTTGAAAATGGGCAGATATCAAACTACAACCAAACTGGTACACTTGAGTTTTTTGTTTAATTATTGTCTCTTGTTGAACTTTAATGACTAAACAAATGATAGAGGTTGATTGGATAGAATATCTCCATCATCTGATAGAATTATTCTCAAAATTTTCTCTTTTGAATGATAATTTTTAGCAGGATTACATACATGCCACATAATTTTTTTTTTGTATTTATGCACCTAATCCTAATCACATCAAAACATGTGTGAAATGATGTTTTTTTAGATAAGTTAATTAATGTTAGTGATATTTTTGATATGATTTAGACATTAGGATATTATATAAATAAATATAAAGATTTAGGTGTTAGATATGATCGTAATATGTATGCAAATTCCTATAATTTGTATGCTAGATAAATCCCAACCTCATCCCATTGGGGAACAAAAAGTGAAAGATCACGCAGAGAGAGAAATGCTTGGTTCTGTTTGCATTTCCTCATCATACAGAAGTGTTTCGTCATAAGATCTGTTTTGAGCAATATCATTCAGCATCAGCTTTGTTCTAAAGCTGCATTCAGTACTTTGATTTGAGATCTATTATTGTGGTATTTTGATATAATTTTGATCCGAATGAATTTTATAGCTTTGGATTTGCTTTGAGATCCAATTAAAATTTATTTTGCATGAGCAGTTTGGTTGTTTTGAGAGTTTTTTCACCATATAGCTTAAAGATAAAAGTTGTCATCTTGGTTTTAGACTCGGTATTCTGTTTGATTTCTCTCTCACATTAGAAGTTGGAATTTTATTTGGGCTATGAAAGTTTCGATAATTTTGGTGTTTTGATTCTCATTTTGTCTTCGAACTTTAATTTTTTTTTATAAACTTTGAAGCCTTAAGTAATCAGGGTTTGGATGAGTTTTGGTTATTTTAGATTATGATTTGAAAATCTTCAGCTGTTTTGATGGTTTTAATAATTTGGCTGAAAGCAGTTTATAACCAAAAAACTGGCTGATTTTTTATTGGATTAATCAAATTTGAACAAGTTTGACAATCGATTTCTGCTGAAATTTAAATTATGTTCCTTTGTTTAATATTTTTGGTTAAATTTTGAGACACTGACGACCTCATTAGAATGGTTGAGGATATTTGTTAACGTTAAAAAATGGGCAAAAGTATATGTGGTCTCATCGTTTGGGATGATTTTTTTATTTCTTTTTAATGTATTTTTTTAACTATAAAACTTGTTTAAACTAAAAAATTTTGTAATAAAAAATTATTTTCTGAAGCACTAAAAAAATAGTCATCTTAGTCTGAGACGCTTAATTTGTTGGAGGGATTCATTCTTCAAGTTGCACTAAAAAATTAGTCATCTGAAAAGTTACAAATTCTAATCGTCTAACCTCTCACTCCATTCTAAAGACTTGAGAATTATAAATGCTAGGTTTTATCTTATCAATGGGTGAGTAAAGATCCCAAAGATCGAAATGATCTCTTAGAAGGTTGGGTACTCATATTTAAATATAACATTTCGACTTGAGATTGGTTGTGCTAATATAAAATATTTTTTTATTGCATATTGAAATAATTTTTTAATTTTTAAATAAAAAATTATTTTAAGAAGAAAAAAAAAAAAAAATCGTCTCAAACTAAACCTTAAAAATCATAATTTAAACGCAATTTTAAAGAATGATTATTCCTTAGGCAGGCCTCTCGTTAACGCTATAAAGCAAAAATTTTCTCTAGACCGCAAGGTCTTGTGCATAAAGCTTGGGAATCTTCAGTTTCTTTTTCACTGTAACATCTCATAAGTAAAAATATTTTTCATTCTTCTCAAAATTAATGAGCGCTTCTTAATGTTTGAAAGTGCCAAAATCAGATTTCGATTTTTTTTTTTTTTTTTACATTATAAATAAGAGAAGTAAATATTTTATGGATTTTAGGCTTTAAAATTTTGAAAAAAATATATAAAAAATTATCAAAAATCCCAAAATAATTCTAAAACTGTATTTACCTTTATTGCACACAAATGAAAAAAAAAGTATACATAGCCATATAGACTTCAGGAAAAATCATCATTTTGCTTCACATGGTATGATAATAGATAGAAACAAAAGCCATTAATTACCGTAAAAAATATAATTCTGCGCATCGTTGAGGTTTATTGACGTCGGTTCAAGTTGTGATCATGTTTTTTGATAGAATTTTATTGTTCTTAAAACAAGATTACACGTCAGCACCGTCTAAAACTTAAAAAATTATTCTGTACCGAACCGGACGTAGAACAACATCCGTAAATCAAAATGCGGTGTCAATCATACCAGCCGCAGTACTGAGCGGTACTAAGCAATACCGAGCCACAGTACTGAGCAAGGGATGACATAACGCATTCTGATTAATCTTTAAATAACATTTGACGTCCCTACAAAATAATTAATCCTAAAATTCTAATTTTCTTCCAAAACGAAACCAATTGTCCTGAAAGACATGGCCTCAGCCGGACTGAGATGAACATCAAAATGACATTAAATTGAGCTCAGTTCCCTCAGAAATCACATATAAGATGATCACCAGGAAGACCTTCCTTACTCAGTAAAATAGTTTTTTAATATAATTTTTTAAAAAAACAGCGATAAAAAACTATCCCAACAAATATGATTGTAGTCAGGCAAGTGTTAGGTTAGATCGTAATCGATCATATGTATGCAATTCTACCACAGCCTCAAAATGTTAGACATTGATACAAGAGTTAATGAACCATGGGGGGGATTCAAATTGATTTGTTTGGAGGCTAAGGCTACAGAGGGAATGATCACTCTAATGATCCTATATAGAGATGAACATGGCTATATGAGTCCAAATGGATCAACTTCATGGCTACCTTTGGCAGGCTTCTGCTTATTGAAACCTGATGACTAGAGGAGAACTAGTCTAGTTCTAATAAGTTGCCTTTATACATATATATGAATTTGAATGTCAATCGTTATTGCAAATATCCATTTCCACTGGAGTAGTCAAACTAGTCTGAGAAATGAAAGGGTTAGAGCATAAGTTATGCATCCAATAGACTCCGAGAGATAACGCCTGACACATCTCGCCTAAAATTGAAGCTTCAAAAAGGGGCAAAAGATTTTAGTTCAAGGAGCTGGCCTAAAATTGAAGCTTTAAAAAGGGGCAAAAGATTTCAAAGCCCCGGCCCGAGTAGGATAGCTCCATTATTACTAGAAGGAATATCGACCTAAGTATTTAACATATCTAGTAGAGGGTGTCATGTTGCCCAAATTTGGAGTGTCAATGATCTTGAGTGCCACTTTTTGTTAATTCAATCTGGACTCTTGGTTATGTCGATCAATTAGGTTGTACTCTATCAATTGTGCTTTGTGGAGATAGAGAGCGGAGCACCTAAGAGCTTTGAACCCCAGCACTTCCAGTCAGGCTAGAGATAGAGTAGAGCATTGCGACGCTCCAAATCTCAGCGCCGTGGCGTTCTGAATCAACTAGGTAGTTTCCTTTCTCGTTTTTCTTATTTAATTTGAAGCATTACGCCCTTTGGGTCGTTAATGTGTGTCTCTTTATCAGTTCTATAAGAGAACAATGTGAGGGAAGAGAGACAAGAAAATAGTGAGAGAGGAGATCCATGCAATTACTCTCATTTTTATGGTGAATTTCTTAATGTGGCGTGACTCCATAATTTTTTTCTGATTTTGAGTTTTTTCGTGGTAAGTCGCGCTGTTTTTCTTTTCATTTTCATTGCATTTTCTCTTTCTTAATTGTATTCAATATGTGGTCTTATTCCCAACACTTTTAAGTAATACTCTTGACACTCCCATTATAATACTAAACCTTTAATTTTTGGTACCAGAGTGCTTCAAGCCAAGCTCGACACATCACAATCAACATAGCTTGTGGATAAGCCACCATTTGATCACCTCAATTCTCCTATTTGATAAGAAAAGTTATTTTTAAATGATGTACATACTAACACAATCATACATAAACTGGCTGACAGGTTAACCAAAAAAGGCGTTATTGATACAATATTGTGAGACTATATAACTTGAACCAATCACTACTACAATAATATCAAGCATTTATCCCACTATGTGGGTCATGAAGCAATCACTAATCAAATAAAATGGTAGAAGCCTGACCTTAGAAAAATAGCAACAGGACAAAGGCATGCACCACACAATGACTTGACAAAATATACGTTCATGGCATTTCATCAAATATCCTGAACACATTTGCTTAGTCTCAAATCCATAATCTTCGTTCAAAGGAAATGAGTGGTTAGAGGGGAATTGACGGCTGAGCTAAAATTTGCCAGCTTGTAAAGGAGATTGGAGTCAGTCATACTGTGGTGAAATCCCTCAAACAGACAAGTTGGCTAAAGTAGACAAGAATGCAACGTGGAAACTGAGAACACAGGGCCGAGTCAAGTAAAATGTATTGGAAGTGCTTGTTTGGCACAGAGAAACCACAAAGCACAACCAATTTATAACTCAGGAAGCAAACAATAGACCTAATTATTAATCTGGAAGATCCTACATAGCAACAATAAGATCAATTATGCGGCCCCAACAACCTCTCCATTTGGTGGCTCCTTGAAAACATAACCAAAATTGAATGCAACAGAAAAAGCTAACCACTAAATATAAAAACAAAAAGGGTCAGCAAAAACACCCTTAATGTGGAATCAAACTCTCTAACACCCAAGGAACATGCCAAACATGAATACAAAAACCCCATCGATAAGGACGAGGGCTCAAGTGGTAATCCTGAAGATAAAAAAAGAGATTTGACAAAGTGGAAAAACATCCTCAAATGTAGGATGAGATCTACTACTTGTAACTCCAGACATGACAAATGTTATCAATATTCTACCTAGGATTAGGTATGCTTTCAATAAGTTGGACTCTACACCATTGGATCCATCATTAAAGTCCAAACAAGCATCATCAATCCTTTACTGTACCCATGCAGATTACAGCACCATCCAACAATTTGGAGCTCTCAATCTCCATAGTTTGATAAGAGTACACTTTTTAAATATCTTGGGTCTATTGTTCAAAGTGATGGTAAAATAAATGGGGATATTATTAGTAGAATTCAAGTTGAATGGTTAAAGTGGAGGAATGCATTGAACCTTTTGGGTGATAGAAAGTTCCACTCAAACTTAAAGGAAAATTCTATAAGATGGTGGTGAGACTTGCAATACTTTAAGATGCAGAATGTTGGCCATTAAAGGAGAAGCATAAAGTTAAGTGTTGCAGAGAAGAGTATGCTCAGGTGGATGAGTAGCTTCACTCTTAGAGACAATGCAAAACGAGCGTGTACGTGAAAAGGTTGGAGTAGCTCCAATGGTAGATAAGATTAGAGAAAGTTGTCCTAAATAATTTTCTAACTTTTTAAAACTTGTTGAAGATGAAAGTCTACTCCAAAATGTCCAATTATCAAAATTTGACAATCGCCATTAATTTTGCTATCTTATATGATAATAATATTGAGAGCTTCGATGAAGATTTGATGGAGAAGTATAGAGAGGATAAAGAGGATCTACATATGATATTTTTTTATTTATAGAAAACATATGATAAAGTCCAAGCGAAATGCTTTGGAGAGTTCTAGAAAAAAAAGAGAGACAATAATATACATATATGGGTAGTGCTACTTGTATTCAAACACAAGGTGGTTTGACCGAGCATTTTTCTATTTCAATTGGATTACATCAAGGATCAACTTTAAGCCCATATCATTTTGCTTTAGTCATGGATGCTCTTGCTAGACATTTCCAATAGGATCTTCCTTGGTGTATGCATTTTGCTAATGATATTCTTCTTGTTGATAAGGTTAGAGAGTGAGTTGAAAAACAACTTGAATTACGGAGGTTAACTTTAGAGTCTAAAGGTTTTCGTGAGTAGATTTAAAATTGAATAAATGGAGTGTAATTTTAATAGTAATAGATCTAGTAGGGGGATTGGGACGTTGGGCGATCAAGTAAAAAATAAGAGTATAAGTTTTAGATATCTTATGTCTATTATTCAAAGTGATGATGAAATAGATAGGAATATTATTAGTAGTATTCAAGTTGGATGGTTGAAATGGAGGCAATCGGGCCTTTTGTGTGATAGAAGAGTACCCATCAAACTTAGAGGAAAATTCTAAAAGATGGTCGTGAGCCCTACAATGCTTTATGGCACAGAATGTTAGCCGTTAAAAGAGAAGCATAAAGTTAAGTGTTGTAAAGATAAGGATGCTTAGGTTGATGAGTGGCTTCACTCTTAGAGATGGAGTACAAAAATGATTACGTATGTGAATAGGTTGGAGTAGCTCTAGTGATAGGAAGATTAGATGGAGTCGCATTAGATGTTTTGGATATTTAAAATGTCGACCTTCCGATGACCTAGTTAGGAGAGTAGATGTATTGGATTTGGCCTTATGTTAAAAAAGGCAGAGGTATATCTAAAAGGATTTGGCTATAAAATATTAGAAATGAACGTTTTTTAATTAAAATGAGAATTTGACTCTTAACATGACACAATTGAGAAAAATGATTCATGTAGCCGACCCCACGTAGTGGAATTAAGGCTTGATGTTATTATTGTTGTTGTTATATATGATAATAATATTAAAATTATATAAATTAATCTGGAATGAATCAAATCTTTAATTTTACTAACAATTGTTGAAGATAGAAATAAAGCTCGAGTATAAACAAATCAAAGAATTGAATTTATACGAAATGGTTCATTAGAAACAAATGGACATCACAACAAAAACTCTCCATAATAAAATCACTTGCAAAATCAATTTATTCATTTTGAAAAAGTTAGGACAAACTCATCCTAAATGGGAAATTCTATTAGTTAACAGAGCATCACAGGTTTAATTTTTAATTACGTTTCATGCCAAGAATGATATTAGAATAGATCTATTGGATCGTAAATAGGCAAGACCAGATTACGAACCATATTACTCATTTCTAAAGACAACATCAATATTAGATATAAATAAATAAATAATTCTTCAGAAGTAAAGATAACTAAACTTTTCAATAAGTGCAAACAGTCAACAAAAAGGCCATGAGGAAAAATGAAGATTCATGAAACTATCATAGATAGTGCTCGTTTGAATTCAGTACCATGATTACTTGTAAATGAAGTTTAAATTACCTGCAAAAATCAATATATATAATTATCAGGTAGCAATTAATACCACAAATCTTACAGCAATAATTTCAAGAAACATATCTTCCCATGAAATTACATATGTAAGAACAAAACTAGTACAGCAATGCAACTAATACGTCCACAGACAAAAGGGTATATTAGATCATTCAACTTGATACCCTAATACTCTCAAAGAGGAAGTATTTAAAGACTCTCAAAGATTTATTTAGCTATATAGCTACCTACTAACCCACATACAACTCAAATTACCTATTACAATTATGTAATTACTAACCCACCTAACCTATTACAATTCTCTATCAACTCACAAGGCTCTTTTTGTCCTAATCGTTGACTACAAGGGAGAAATAAACATACAAATCAAAAGGGAAGAAAATCATTATTAGCCTTCTCCCAATTAATAGAGATAGCCTAATCAATGCTCCTCCATTCAGTCTTGCTTGGAGTTATACTAGCTCTTGTGATGCAGAATTTTTCAACTTAAACTATACCTAAGCCCTATCCAATTTCATTCATAAGATTGCCTAAAAACCGATATTATTGGTATAACTTTGGCCTTCAGATGTACAAGTTAAAATCACCCAAGATTATTTTATATATCTTATTTTCAATAATTAAGACTCCCATAATCTCTCTGATATAATCATTTCTAAGTCAATCTGATATAGTTTTACCACACATACATCTTAATAATCTCAAATTGTAGAATTTAATTGTAGTAATCTCTTTGTTATCCATCAAATGAATTCATATAATATAATTGACCTAATTGTGACTTCACACATTCAACTTTTAAATCATCATGATTTTCTCTTAGTATCCCTAAAGCACTTTTCAATGTTAACCAACATTCAACCTCAAATCTATAGATGTACTCATTTATAACAACATTCTTTTTGATAATAGATTCATAATACAAAAACCAATCACACATACATCACTAAAAGTTTAAATATTATAGATTGATAATAAAAAATTTCTCATAAATTAAAATAATCAAGGTTCTAAAGATCGGACCATACATAAAACTAAAAGAAGGAGAGGTTCTTGATTCAATTGTTGAATCAAGTTTGAACAATAAATATCAAAATTATTCAAATATAATATAATAATTAAAATTTTAAAAGTGAATACATAGCAACTTTGATTAAAGCTCTGGAACAAGCTCGAAAAAGACTCAACATAAAGCTCATTAAGAAGCACGAATAACATATATTTTTAAATAAAGATTTAAAATTAATAAATTGAAAATATAATAATAACTTTTAATTAAAATAAAATATAATATTTGTAGAACAAACCAATTCAACAAAACTATGATTGACTTGACAATTTTTGGTTGAATTGACAGTTCAAACTAGTTCAAGCTGCAGTTCAACTCAAATTAGGTTTTCAAACATGATCGATTCAAGGTAGAACCGGTTGGACCACTCCAGGTTTCAAAGCATTGAGAATAACATATCAATTGATCTTTGTACCACTCATCAAATGCCTCCGATCTTCTACCTTTAAATCAATAGTTAAAATACTTAATAGCTTTAGAATAAGTCTACACTATTAGAACTAAATCGATTACAAATAACATATATCAAAATACCCATCCTAAATATCTTTTATATGCATATCCATAACCAATGCGAAAAAAATGAATTCAATCAATTATTGATGATTGCAAACTCACCACACCACTATTTTAAATACTAGCAGTATTATATGATATGTATTTAACAACAACACACCTTCTATACTTAATGCCAACCATATCAATTATGATACTTTTTAAGATCAACAAAAGCAATATTGTAATGATTAATAAAACTTCAAGCCTTCTTATAAGTTGCCTTAGCATAAAAATTACCACAATAATGAATTGTTCAGCTTAAAATGAAATTTATTCTCTAATGGTAGTATGACTTTTCTTAACCAATAAATTTTCGTCATCTTTGCATAAGTTTATTTTTTTCATAATTATCACAATAATGAGAAACTCTTTTATTATTAAAGATTGATACAATTCAACATTCTCTTTATTAAAAAATTGCAAAATAAACTACACTCAAAAGATTTCCCCAAACTTTTAAAATCTCAATAGGCCTCTCAGTAAAACATAAATTTATGCATATTCTTCAAATTGACTCAAACCTCATCTTTTGGTATAAATTAACAATAAATTTCATAATTATATATCTTTTACTATTTTGAATGAAAGAAACACTCTCTCTTGCAATTTTTATTTAATAATTGGTGACAATTGTAATTGTCATATTCCTTTAATGTTTTAATTTTTACTTACTAGCCCATTATCTTTGCTTGAAAGACATGTAACTTGATCAAAATCTCCTAGAAGTCATATCATTCACCTTAGTCATTTTATCAATCTCATTTTTCTTCTTTAATAACTCACTATTCTTCAAACTTTCCCATTATTTTCCCTAGCATAAAAATTTCCCTCATAGTTAAATACATGTAACTTGATCAAAATCATTTAGATGTCCTATCATCCGCCTTAGTCATTTTATCAATCTCATTTTCCTTCTTTAATAACTTATTACTCTTCAGGCTTTCTTATTAATTGTCTTAGAATAAAAATTATCTTAATGATGAATCTTTCTGCATAAATGAAATTCTTTCTCCGATGCCGACAAGATTTTCCTTAGCTAATAAATTTAATTATCTTTTCATTTAGCTGTCATTATCACAATGACTAATATATCTTTTATTCTTAAAGAATGGTACAATATGAAATTTTCTAAAACATTAGAACTTCATAAAGATTACTTGCTAGCCAAACTACTCAAATATCTCCAAAAAAAATCTCCAAAAAAATCTCCAAATTTCAATAGGCAATTCATTTAAACCCAAATGCATCTTCTTCAAAACCAAATCACCTCACCTTATGCAAATAAACTAAAATATACTTCATAATTCTAATCATTTAGTTCTCTAAAAAATATCCTACATTTTTATTTAATAACTACTGATAATAATTTTCATGTTCCCTTAATGCTTAATTTTTGCTCAGAAGACCATGATGTTTATTCAAAATAAATGTTTTGATAAAAAATACTCTAAGATATCTTGTGATCTGCCTTGCCCATTTTTCTTTAATGTATAACATATTATACTTGATCATCAAAATATGTAAATTAGAGTTTAGACTTTGTTTATTATCCTATTCTCAAAACTTCAAACTTTCCCCAAAGCAATTTTTTTCTTAATAATGATTACTTTTTTCTATTTTTAAAAGCACGTCACTTTTATTAAAATGAAAATTTCCTTCCTACTCCCACTACCAATCTTGCTCAGCATGTACGATCTGTTTATTAATTTTCATAGGATTTCTATAACAACATTCTTAATGCATCTAATAATGTTATCTCACATCAAGTATGATTCGACTTAAAAATTCTATCTTATCTATATCAACGATATAAATTGAAAAATTAATTTCTCATCTTGTATGCTCCACTATCTAACCCAAGCACAACTAATTCTCTTGATTACTTCCCTCTACACTTATAAGATACATCTATAACAACTCTTTTTTAATATAAATATTAAATTTCTAATAAAATCTTCCAATCTTCAAGAAAGACTAAGTCACTAAGGTAGGAGAAAAAGTGCTAAATAACAATAGCTTTATATATAGCATGGACTTGAGGCTTTGACATTAGTCATTACAGGAAAACAGAGCTAGGTGGAGGGGGCTTGGGGGTAAGGATAGGTATTTGTGGGTTAGAAAGGGATGCACTAAACTAATAACACTTGTTAATATTCCCAAATGGTGGAGGCTATGGGAATAGAAATGTATCATACAGTAAACACTTATAGAAGACATCCAAAAGCTTCCCTTCAAAGAAAGCAAAAACTTCAATACCTAAAGCATAATAGATTACAGTTGCCTTCAATAGTTTGTGATAACTTCAATAATTTTTTTATGAGAGCAGGAACAGGTTGCTTAAACATTGTGGAATTGGAAGAGTTGACAGAAAGACGAAGTGGATGAGAAAGCGATTAAGATATAAAAAAATAGTAATAAAAGTAATGGTTAGTTACAAAATCAAGAGAGGAAGAGGATGACTGTAATAGAAAATTGCTGAATCAATGTGTTGGCCATATCTGAATAAGCACTCAACCTCCTGCAAACTTGAACTGTATGAAAAGGCTATACAAAATTGGATGCTAATAGTTTTAAATTTACCTCCTCTTTAAAAAGCCGTTCATATGCTAAACTTGATTATGTTTGGTTTAAATTTAAATAATCTTTATTTTATTACCATCACTTGGGCACTAATTGGGCAAGTGATGTCTATTTAGCAATGATGATCTAACAATAATTACTTTATTAAAAAAACAGAATTTTTTTTCAAGAAAAGATATGCTAAAAATCTTAAGATAATCATGACAAATTGCCTTCATACATGCAATACTAATTAAGGTGTTTGTGATATGACATTGGTATAGTGCCCTATCTCAATTGAAGGCCAAAAGCATGAAGACTAAGGTATAAAATTTGATTTGAAGATTGAGACTAATTGAGAATCAAATCTATTTAGAGATTCAATCAAGTTTGGATCACAATCAGCAAGTTAATCGATATGCAAGATCACACTCAACTCAAGCTTGGATTAAGTTTGGTCTATATTGAATCAAAAAGTTTGAGATTGGATTACAATATATATGCCTTTATGTATGTTGTTTGTGTGATTGCATGTATAAATTCTATGATCTATACATGCGTAGAAGCATGTACCTATTTAGAATGGGAATTTGACGACGATGACAAAATCAAAGAACAAATCAATATTCTACTAGAATAAGTTCAATCACAATTACCAAGTGTAAATCAGTCCAAATGACATGAGCATCTTTGAGCTGATTATTAGTTTTAAAAATAATTATCGAGATTATCATCCACAACTTTAATGAAGATGCTTATACCTCAACATAACGTGAAAGTTGCAATTTGATTTGAGTGCCAACAAAATGCACACTGTAGTTTAATAGACCTGTAGTATGATGACCAAGTTCTTCAAACTTAAACTTGCAATGAATTATTCAATGAAGAAATTATAGTATGTTGACAAGAATATTTTTACCAAGTGGTACGTTCAAACACTTTAAATTCAAAAAACACAATTTCACTTCATTTTGATGAAGAAATTATACAAGAACCAACCATCAAAATGAATGTGAGATAGGAATGGCACATAATAAAAATTTTAAAAAGAGCAAATCCAAAGTAATAATGATTTTTTAGGCATGCATGAAGTTCAAACTTGACTCAATATTCATTGGTCCTAATCAAATAAACTTTGGACAAGTCACATTAGGTTCAATTTATTCTTACCCATATGTAAGAATGGATGTATAGGGATAGAAAGCATAGTTCCATAACACTTTCTGCATTCCGTATATCAATAAGCATTGAATAAGAGTCCTCATAGTGTTGTTTCACCAATTTTCTAGTCCTCTATAACAAATAAAGAAAATAATAGAATAGATATGCAGTTTGAGACTTGACGACTAGCGGCAAAATAGACAGGTTATTTATATTACATGCTCCTAAAATTGTCAGATGTTTATGGCCAGAAAACATAGATGTTAATGGAAAAAATATGTCCATCCTACATAATTACAAGCCTAATTTCTCAAATACTGCATTTTCTACCCAAAGTTGCCTGCAACTCATGCAAACCAGCAGTTAAAGGACCAATGACACTTAAAAACTTAATCAGAATCATTATGTTTACTTCTAAGTTCATACAATCCTATAATATTGCTTTCATTCAAGCACAAGTTGGTTCAAGTGTGTCAACACAGAACACGAGTATCAAATTATTCGAACATTGCTATATATGAAAAAAAAAAAAACAAAGGTAAGATGTAAAATTAAAACAATATGTTTCACGTTCAAAAAGAAGTAAAAGAATGTAAAATGAACATCTAAAGTAGAGCAAAATTCTACCTAGAATCCAATACCTCCCCGAAAAAGTAAAAGTTAACCCCATATATAATTATTCCATCAAATTAACAATTGAAGTTATTGAATGCAAACGTGAGATCCTAATATTTCCACATGTAAGGTTAGCAATTCAAAAGTTTATTTACTTCACTTATCAAGTAATGTATTAGGATAATCACTGATTCACTATCTAGTTATCTCGTGTAAATAAGTGAATAATGGGGGTAAACCTTATACAAGGCACCCACTTCCTGCACCAACCTATGGGAGAATAAACATATGATGCGGGGGGAGTATGATGAATTATCAGAGATGTATATCAATCCCATTCCCATCAATTATATTTAAGCTTTGTTCAATTGAAAAATCCTCCACGACTCCCAAAAATTCACCAGCAAAGAAGTTGCCAGAATCCAGAATCCACTGCAGATTGCCACCCGCACAAATCAAAGAAGTCATATGGCAGATTGCGATTTAAAAAAATTAACAAGATAATGATACTTAAACAATAGAAAGTTAAGTAGTGCCCTTTCATGACCAGAACGGGCATACAAATTCGAATCAACTCATGTCAAACCCCCTACAAGAGGGTAACAGTTGAGATCATAGCAGAAAGATAACACATGCATCCATATGAAGTTATGTATCAAAAGTATGTAAAGTAATATCATCCCGAATCCTTATTAATCAAACCCTAATTACCCTCATAACCTTCTTTTGCAGGCACCGGCTCCGCGATCTTGATATATCCCATCTTCTTAGGGGTTTCATCCTCCTCGTCTTCTTCTCCATCACCATACCTGCAGATTTCATAGTGATTGGTGAAGAGGGACCATGCGAGGTACATGATCGCGCCAGTTAGAGCGCCACAGCCTACGCCAAAGAGGAGCCCAGCAACAACGACGAGGATATCTTTGGCCCTCTCTTGGAGAGAGCTCATGCCGAAGGTGGGCTCGGCCTGGACCATCTCCGCCGAGCGCGGGCGGTCGACGATCATAGGGCGGAGGTTGCGAATAGGCAGTGCAAAGGCGCTTGAATAAGAGATGGGGCGAAATATGCTATAGACGGCAAAGTAGCCGCTAGAGGACGAAGAAGGAGAGGATTTACGAGGGGCATTGATCTGTGGAAGATCGAATGTTTCGGAAGAGGTGAAGGTGTAAGAGATGAAGAGCGTCTTGCACGGGTGGAAGTGTATGCCAGGGCGTGCGGCTGCGCCGGCGGCGAGAAGCGATACGGCTAAAAGGAAAGAGAGGAGCGATGGAGACGCCATGTGCCCGGCGGAGATTGAAGGTGTACGGCGAGTCTGGTGGTTATGCGGGGATTTCTTATGGATCCTAGACTTATAGGCTAATTGAACGTAGACTCCAATGTCTAAGTAAAAAATTTTGACCACAAATTAATATAAAGTAATTAATAACAAAATAAATAAGTTTATAATGGAGTAGCTCTCATTACAAATAAAATTAGAGAGAATCTTCTTAGATGATTTAGTCATAAAAATATTGGTCTTTTGATGGAGAGATTATTACATGCGGAGTCCAGATAAAGCCATTAAATTTTATGACTATGAATAGAAAAGCACAGTTAATGGTCACCCATGCCCATGGGCGGATATAAGGAGGGGCCTGCCTAAAAAAAATTCTTGTATGCAAACTCCTTAGATGTCACCCTCTTTTCCCATCTCTCTTTTTTTTTTTTTTTTGGAAAATTAGGGGCAAACATGCCCAATTTTCATTAAAGAAAAAAATTAATACAGATACAGTAGGTAGTAAGAAAACAAGAAAAACTTACCACCTAAAGTAAAGAGAAAAGAAAAACAAGCCTAACCATTCAACCTAAAAATCAAGCTTCAAAACAAATGAAGCAAGAAAAATAAAAAACCTGATAAAATCTGCTAAAAAAGAGAATAAGTACACCCTACAACAAAGGGTGAAAAGAAAAAAACAAAACAAAACTAGTCCAAAGGACTAGAAATACAAAAGAATCTGTTACACCGAAACAGCCAACAAATTCATAATAAAGAATGCTCAATCATCCACCAGCTCAATCCTAAGAGCCAGACAAAGAGCCACTCCTGCAACAGACAGCCTTAAACTGAACTTCTGCAACCACTCCAAAGAGCCAGACAACAAAGACCAGCATCCAGTCCTAAGCCACCCTTCAGCAGCCAGATCTTCAAACAGTCACCAGCTCAATCCAGCTCCTTCACAGCTCCAAACAGCCCACCAACTTCTCCACAGCTCCCAGAGAAAAACCCTGCCAAAAATAAAAACCAAACAGCAGCCAATGAAAGAAAAAGGAAAATAAACAAGAGCCAGAAGAAAAAAAAAGGCTAAATAAATGTCCATCCAGATATAAAAATCGGTTGACATTATAAGCACAAAAACAGAAACAACAAGAAAGGAACCAAGCTAAAAAACCAAGAAGCAGCAAACAGAGAAAGCAAACATAATTCAAATATAACTAAATTAAATTAGCATTAGAAATTTCAGCAAAAGAATTCCAGACCGAAACTTTAGCAACAATAGCTTTTCTAATATTTCTTAAAATACAATCCAAATCTTTACAAGTACCTGAAAATCTCCTATTATTTCTCTCACGCCAGATGAAATAAAAAGAGCAACAGGTGATCAAGTAATAAAAATTTTTAATATTTGAAGAAATATTAAGATCAGCAATGTAATCAAAAACTTGTAAAAGATTAGGCTTAAGAAAAAAATGCTTAAGACTAGGAATTAAAGAAGAAATAATATAAAAAGAATAATTAAAATCAAAATATAAATGATTATGGGATTCAAAATCAGAATTACACAGAACACAAACAGCAGGAATAAAAACATTTCTATTCAAAAGAATATCTACAGTTTTAAGTCTATTTAAAACTGTCATCCAAGCATAACAAGAATACCTCAAAACATACCGTTTATGCCATATATACTTTTACCAATAAACTTTAGCAGAATCCTGAAAGTAAGCTAAATAATAATTCTTAAATTTCAGAAAAAGCTCTCCGTCCCATTTCAAGCAATAAAGGTTTAGGAGAATTAAAAAGATTCTTAAAATGCTGAATAAAAACACTAGTAATATCTTTAGAATCAGTAAGTAAATCATTATCAGTAACAATAGAACGTATAAAATTATAATTATTCCTACACCTAATTTTGGAATATAAAAAACCCAAATCATCCTCACCATTTACCAACCACCTGGCACGTTGAATGGTCCAAGATTCCCATAACGAATTATAATGAGAAATAAGAGCATTGACTTCTTTTAAATCCTTATTCTGTTTCATATCCAAGGCATTAATCTGAATATTTTGAAGAAGCTTGCTCTGTAAAGAATGTAAATCTGCCAACTTAATATTAATAAAGTTAGAAGAAACCCAAGACTGATTCTTAATTAATTTTTTTAACTTAACCAGATGGTGATAAAAATTATGAACAGGACTACTAGTAGTAGAAGAAGAAAAGGCCTCAATAAGTAAATCCCAAAACCAAGGATAAGAACACCAATAATTTTTAAAAATAAAACGATGTCTTTTACTCACAATGCTTTTATTCGCCAGAACAATAGGACAATGATCAGAACATTTAGGAGAATCCACAATATAATAAGAAGCCGGAAATAAATCCAACCAATGATTGTTCACTAACATTCTATCAAGCTTAATATGAATAGGAGTATCACTCCTTTGATTAAACCAAGTATAAAAGTAACCAACCGAAGCAAGATCTTGAACTCCAATATTAAAAATGAGATTATTAAAATCCCAAAGCTTACCATTATTAAGATTAATACCACCAGCTTTTTCATTAGAAAATCTACAGCAGTTGAAATCCCCAAGTAAAATCCAAGGCGAAGTAATATTCATAGAAAGAGAAAGGATATCTTTCCAAAGTATCTGCCTTTCCAAATGATCATTAGAAGCATAGATAAAAGTGATAAGCACAGAAGAATAAGATCCCAACTTTAAACAACCATGCATAAACTGATTAGTAGAATGCAATAGAGTAAAAGAAACACAAGAAGTATTCCATTTAATCCATATTCTACCAGGGTCAGATTTATCAAAGTTATTACAACTATCTTCTGTATCAAAAACCATATGCTTGGCACAGAACCAGGGATCCGTTAAACAAGAATTATGAACCTTTGCTTCCAAAATGCAAATCAAATCAATATTAAATGCTTTAAACAGATCTTTACAAGCATTTACTTTTCAAGGCTATTAAAACCTCTTATATTCCAAGAAACAATATTAGGAATAGACATAATTATTTAGAAGTAGAAGAGGTAGCCTTCCTGGCCAATTTATTCCTTGTCATTTTGCCCGTAGCAACAGATTTAGTATTCTGATTATTCAAATCAGAAGTATTCAAAGCCTTATTTCATTAAATCTACTCTCTCTCTTACTTTTTCTTTGCCTTTTTCTTCTTAATTTATTATAGCCAGCAACCTCCTTCACTAGCCTTAGCTCACTTTTTTTCCTCTCTCTCTCTCTCTCTCCCATGAGAAGTGAGACTATTTTTCTCCCTTCATCTTCACATTACTATTTTTTTAAATTATAAATTTCATCAATTTTTTAATATTTTAAAAACTCCAAATTTTAGTTTATAAGAGATTTATGTAATTAAAGTAAACAAATTACATTAGCGAAGAATTATAATATTTAATTTTAAATCAAGTAACTTAAAATATATTTATTATAATTTTTATTTATTTTTAATGTAGTTTTATAATAAAAGGATGCAATTTTTTATATGTTTATTGCTTGTTATAAAATATGTTTTAGTTAAATTTTTATTTAAATTAGATATGAAAATATACGATAGAAGAGTAGTTGAAATAGATTAGTATGATATATAGTTTAAATAAAGTTGTGTTGAAATTAATTTAGACAAGTATGACAATAAGTTTTTTTCGTTATCATAAAATTTAACTTCTTATAATTAAAAATAATAATTTAAAAAACCATAATATCAATTTCAAAAATAATAAGACAACTAAAACCATAATGTCAATTTTAAGCTAAAATGAAAAAGCTTGAGGGTATTTTTAAAGTCAAAATTTTGTGCCCCCGCAGATAAAAAATTCTGGCTCCGCCACTGCCCATGCCCTTTTATCGTTCGCAGTTACAAAACTGATCGGTTCCCTACGTCTAAATTCCGCACATGATAATCTCTCCTTCCGATGGCCCTGTTAGGAGAGTAAGTGTATTAGAACAAACCTATATTAATAAATATAGAGGTAAACTTAAAAAGATTTTCTTATAAAGTATTAAAAATTAACTTTTTTATTAGATTTAAATAAGAATTTAACTCTTAATAAGAGATAATGAAAAAAGAAAATATTAATACGACTAATCTCACATAGTGAGATAAATAATTATAGGTGTTACTATTGTTGTTCTATATTTATTTTTTTACTAATTATGCATTAATTTGCAGTTAAGAGTTTAATTGAAAACATATAATTACATTATTAACTCCATTTAAAACTACCTAAGTCTTTGTACACGTATATTCACCTGATCAAGTTGATCACATCATTTCTAAAATTTGAATCAAATTCAATAAATTGTTGGTTATGAGTCAACATAGACCACCCATAACTTGTTGCTCACAAAGATTCATCCAACTTAAAGCCACCTAAAATCACAAGTCATGCATAATCAAATCTCTTTTTTTTTTGGGGGGACATTTAGGCCATTTAAGGCAAACTCACACACACAACGCATACACAAAGACTCGAACTCAAGACCTCTTAGTTGGAAGCATAAGCGCTCAACCAACATGCCAAGGTGAGCTGTGTATAATCAAATCTCGTCAAGTTGCCTAGGACACATAACATAATTGATCATTAATTAGAGGATTCATAGAGTCAACTACTCATCTAAAAGTACTTGCCATCTAATAAATAATTCTTATTAGGAGAATTGTTGAAAGGTACTTATCCTTTATCTAAAACTTGTATAAAGTTATTGCATGACAGGAACTATTAAACAACTACATATATACATAACTACCTATACTAAGCCAATTTATTTATTCTCCTTAAAATTCTATCATGTAGAATATTTTGTAATCTTACTTAAAAAGCTTATAAAAAGGAAGGGGGGAGAGAAAGAGAGAGAGAGAGAGAGAGAGAGAGAGAGAGAGAGAGAGAGATAGAGAGAGAGAGGCTTAACTATTCATTACAATCAAAGCAAATTCATTGCCTTTATTCTTTTTATTATACTAAACATTGTTAGTCGGGGCAACTTCTCTTGAGCTAAATTCTTGAGATATTTTAATGAACATTTAATTCCTCAATTTTCTTATA